AAAAGACGGCCCCAGGTTCAGCTGGGCAGTGTAGGAGGCCTGGGAAAAGACGGTGCTGCTGGAGAGGATGGGAGGACACCAGACTATGGGATATAGACCGAGGACAACACGGCCACTGACTGGCTGCAGCACTAGAAAATCGTGAATGTATTCGTTTTTCATTCGTCCTGGGTTCGAAACTGCTGTCCATTCTCACGCTTCCTGGTATTTTCGATGCAGAAAAAGCGGCCTGGTGGCATAACCATTGGGCTCTTGGCTGCTGACATAAAGGCTGAAAGTGTGAACTCCCCCTTGGGTTTGAGAAGCAGCACTTGGAAACCACAGCAAATATTGAGCTTGGCTCCTAAGGGAAAGTCAAGGTTAGGTTTCTGCACATCTCAGGTTACAATCTACACAGATCACCCACCAGTCAATACAGAGCCTTGCTGAGTGAGTGCTTCAACATCTATTGTGGGTTCACGAACACGGACCTTACGGGCATCGAAGCTTCTCTGACACTTGAGTTTTCTCTGGGGGCCCACCCCAGCCTTTTTTGCATGCAGGAATGCGAGGCTGCCGCCACCATGATGCTTAGAGGCCAAATTTTAAAAATGAAGTCATCAATAAAAAGCCCAGCAATGAGGACATCCTGGCCTTGACTAGCTGGTGGGAAGGACAGCTGCATGCAGTATGAGAGCTGGAACAGGAAGCAGAGCATTATTGCTTGTTCCACCTCAGCTGGGCACCTCAGCCTCTGTCAGCTGTCGTTGCCCTGCTCTGCTCATGGCCGTGAGTGGCCGTGAAGGCACAGCTAGCGTTCACATTGGGATTGACCCAATGCATTCTACCCAGTAGATGGATTCGCAGATACACGATCAACTGTATAACTGGAGTCAGAGGCTATATGCCTCAGTTTCCAAAACCAAACTCACTGCCATCGCATCAATGCCCATTCATAGAACATGGTAGAACTGCCCCTGTGAGTTCCCGAGACTAACTCTTGACAAGATAGAGCCCTGTCTTTCTCTGCAGCAGCGGCTGGTGGCTTGGAACTGACGACCTTGCAGTGAGCAGGCCAACTCCTAACGGCTGCACGCCCAGCGCTCCTACCCTCAGTTTAAGGAAGACGTGAAAAGTGCGTGAAGTCGATTGGCACAGTGCTTTGGGAGGTCAAAGCGTTGACCTAGCACTTCCTATGGAAAGCATCGAAGAGGGCTCGGAGCATTCACTGACGAAGAACAGAGACTGCCACATGGTCCTGCTATCCGAGCCGCTGGTGGTTTGAAGCGCTTTCCTCTGAGCTAGCAGCTGAGCATGTCCACGGCGCCGCCAGAACTCATTGACATTGACTCCAGTCCTACCCCAGCGGCCCTGGAGAACTGCCCCTGTGAGTTTTCGAGACTAACTCTTTACGGGAGTACGAAGCCCTGTCTTTCTCCTTCAGGGTCACGGGTGGTTGCAAACACCGAGGACCTTGCAGATGGCAGCCCAATTCGTAACCATTGCATCCCCAAGGCCCCTAGGAACCACAACTCCGAGCCATCGAGTCAATGCTGACCCACAATGGCCCTGCAGCACACGGTAGTATCGCCCTGTGGATATCAGAGGCTATAAATCTTTCTGGGCTCGGGACAAGAGCGGTTGGAGGTGCACCAAGACCTGGGTACGGCTCCGGGCTCCGGGCTCCGGGTGGGGCAGCTTGAGGGACGGAGGGACGGGGTGGGTGCGGGAGGAAGGACATGCTCTCACGGCGGCGGCTGCTCAGGTTGAGGGCGCCTGGCCGAGGGTCCCCAGAGCGCTGCTGAGTCCTGCTCAGGGCAGGAGGCCAGGCTGACCTAGGGAGACCCTCCGCCGTCGCGTGGACTCCCATCTTACAGGACTGTGCGTTTCCCAGACGGCGACCGCGCGTGTGGAAAGCCGCATCGGCCGCCCAAGGAGTGCCTGGGGGCCCAGATTCCGACCTTTCCCTTCGCACCTGTGCACCCCCTGTGCGGGCGACAGCATCCCGCGAACCAGCGAACCAGCGCAGGGCACTGTCTTGAGCCCGTAGAGCACGCTCCTGCTGTGTTTTTGTTTCTACATCATTGCCCCAAGCCAGACGTGCCCAAACCAGGTTTCAATTCAATCCAGAGTCATTTCGAAAATAAACGTTTCTGTGAAAGGGAGGGTGCCATTTCGGCTGAGGATAAAAACAAACAAAACAAAATCTTTATGGGAGTAAAAGCCTTTGTCTTTCTCCTTGGAGCAGCTGCTACATTCAAACTGCTCGCCTTGTGCTTACCAGCCCAACACTTAACCCACTAGGCCACAAGGGCTCCCTAAGGCTCCTTGAAATATTTGCAATTCATGTAAGAAAGGGCCAAGGGACCTCTAATGGCACTGTACTGGGTTAGTCATCTTAAGCCTGAATAGTGTCCCGTCAAAATGGATGCCTGTCTGCACTTCGGGATGTGACTTTATTTGGGAATAGTGTCTTTGCAGAAATAATTAAGATGAGGTCTTACTGGAACAGCATGGGCCCTCGTCCATTTTGACTGGTGTCCTTATAAGAAGAACATTCGGATCCAGAGACACACACAGAGGGAAAATGGCCATGGGAAGAAACCTAACCATGGTATTGAGTGTACTTATTCAATCGCTATGCTTAGCAAATTCTCAGAGAAGCGGCATTATATGAAGAAGAATGAGGGATCAGGATTGCAGGAAGTCTTACTTACAACCTTTCATATGCAGAGGACACAATCTTCCTTGCTGAAAGTGAGGAGGACTTGAAGCACTTGCCGATGAAGATCAAAACTGTCAGTCTTCAGAATGGGTTACAAACCAATGTAAAAAAGACCAAAATCCTCACAACTAGACCAATCGGTAGCAACATGATGAATGGAGAAAAGAATTAAGTTCTCAAGATTTTGTCTTACTTGAATCCACAATCAATGCTCCTGGAAGCAGAAGTCAAGCGATCAAACAACTATTTATGTTAGGTAAATCTGTTGTACAAGACCTCTTCAGAGTGCTGAAAAGCAAAGATGTTACTTCGAGGACTACGCTGTGCCTACCCCAAGCTATGGCACTTTCAATTACTTCCTATGCATGTGAAGGTTGGAAATTGAATAAGGAACATCAAAGAAGAATCAATGCATTTGAATTGTGGTGCTGGCAAAGAATATTGAAAGTACCATGCACTGCTGTGTTCGTCTGGGTACTTTAGAGAAATAAATCTACAGAAACATGTATAAGAGAGAGTTTTATATAAAGGGTAAGTGCACATCAAGAAAACATCCCAACCCAGTGCTGCCCAAGCCCACAAGTCCAACATTAACCCATTAACCCATATGTCCAACACCAATTCACAAAGTCCTCCTCCATCTCACAAAGCAGACTCAATGATGCCGACTGCAGGAGGAAAGCTGAGTCAGTGAATGTGTAAGCATCTCAGCACTGGCAGGAGTCTCCACATGGCTGCTCCAGCACCCAGGGCTGCATCGGGGTAGGTCCATGTAGCTTCTCCTCAGGGATGTCTTGCAGGAAGTGAGCCTTGCCAGCTAAAGCAGGGAACTGGCTAAGGCAGCTGCACCCTGGTCCAACCATCAGAAAGCAAGATGACCCAAGAACTTGAAAGGCGAGGCTCACCGAGCCATTTATCTCTCTGTCCTTGAATTGACCCTACATGTGTTTATCGGCCAGGTTGGCACAATAAACTAACTACCTCAACTGCCAAAAGAATAAACACATCTGTCTTGCAATAAGTCCAGCCAGAATACTCATTAGAGGAAGGATGGGAGACTTTATCTCCCAAACTTTGGACATGTTATCAGGAGAGACCAGTCCCTGGAAAAGTACATCCTGCTTAGTAAAGTAGAGGGTCATTGAAAACCCAGAAAACCATCAATAAGATGGCTTGACATGGTGACGACAACAATGGCTCAAACGTGGCCAAAGTTATAAGCCTGGCACAGGAGCGGGTGGTGTTTAGTTATATCATCCAGACGGTCACTCTGTGTCACAACCAACTCGAGGGCACCTAACAACAACCACATCATTTGGCAGTTCCCTGGGTTGATGGTGCAAACTGTTTGCACCCAGTTGCTCCTCTAAAGGTCAATACCCAACCATGAAAGGAAGGCCTGCTGATCCGCTGCTGTAATGATTACAACCCAGAAACTGTATTGGAGTCTTTGAGCAGCACAAGTGATTAAGCAGTTGACTTCTAACTGAAAGAGTGGCAATGTAACCTGACCCCGAAGAATCTCAGAAGAAATACCTGGCGATCTACTTCCCCAACCCCGTGGAACACAGCTTAACTTTTCCCACGTAGGGCTCCCCTGAGTTAGGGTCAACGCAATGGTGACTGGCTGGTGATTCCATTCTGCCCCAGGTGCTTCAGCACTGGGTCACCGATTACTGGAGCCAGAGGGGGTCATCTGCTCCCATAGTGATTGACAGTATCAAGAGCTAGCAGGAGCAGGCCTGCTCTGTCCTGTAGGGTCACTATGAATAGGAATCAACCCCATGACAGCAAGTTCATCTTTTGGTTTGGGAGTGGATAATCGAATGCATCCTTTATTGATTAGATTGGTCAGGACATTCCCTGGCTAGGATGAGAAGAGAGGGTCTGACAATGATAAAATAATCCTCAAGTTTCAGTCCTCTAGGGAGTTAGGGAGGAATCCCTGGCAGCTTCCAGACAAGAGGTACATATCAGCCTGAGACCTGGGGGTTGTCGGGAGCCTTGGCACCTGGGGTTCAGCTCTAGCTCTTCCCTGGGCTGCCTCAAACCACAGGCTGGCTTACAGAAGCTTAGGCAAAGCTGATTCAGCGCACTTTGATGCATTTGCCATGAATTGAGCGCATCTCCTACCCAGGCATCTACCACCAGTCACAGAGGCTTTCGTTAAAGAGTGAGGAAGAAGCAGCCAGCCAAGGCATTTGTTTGGTTTATCTCTAGCTGGATGCCCAAACTCAAAGCCATGGCCCTCAGCACGTGCAGGCCAGCCTGGCATGTTTACCAGCCCGATACTTGCTGTGTTGCTGCTCACTCAGCAGGAAATTCACGTGGGATTTTCTCACTTCTCTTGGGAGGGTTGTCTCTTGTTCCAGGCGAAGAGATACCATCCATGACTTCCAGATGACCTGTCCGAAGAAACCAACAAATGTAGTCTGCTGACTTGTGGACCAAGTTGTATACCAACAAAACTAGAGAAAGGGGCTCTCCAACATGGCTATAGATTAGAAGTAACCTGGCTAAGTAAGGCGGGGTATGGAGTGAGTGGGAGGAGGCACACACCTGGGACATAAGAGACCAGAAAAACTCAATAATCAAGAGAAATAATATTTTGAAGTAATGTTTTAAAAATCCAAATCAATGCAAAAACCCCATCATGAACAAAATAGCCACATTTCAAATAAAGGCAGGATCTGGTCCACTTCTTTGGAAATCCATGAGTGTTGGCATTACATGGTCTTTAGGCAGGACTTGGAAGGGCCAGCAGAATTAATGTGTGCAGAACCCAGTCCTACTGCAACCGGGGGCAGGTTTGTCCTAGGTGGACCAATTATGCATATTGGAATCCCTTAGACAGCTACTTATAAACAGAGCTTCCCTGACCGTACCCCAGCCCCATTGAATCAGAATCTGTCTTTATCTAATACCCAAATGATTTTTAGATTAGACATGTCTGACTTTGTTGGGAGAGACCAGTCTCTGGAAAAGGACATCATGCTTGTAAGAAGGGTCACTAAGAAGGGCCTCATTAAGACCCTTAACGATATGGATTGACACAGTGGTTGCAACCATGGGATTAAACATAGGGAAAATTGTCAGGAAGGTGCAGGGCCAGGCGATGTTTGGTTGTATTGTACATAGGGTCTCTATCAGTGGGAACTAATTCGATAGCACGAGGGGCCCCAAATCAGAAGCCCTGGTGATGCTGTGGGTTAGCTGCGGGACTGTTAACCACAAGGTTGGTAGTTCAAATCCACCAGCAGCTCTGGGAGAGGAGGCTGCCTGCTCTTGTAAAGATTCACAGTCTCAGAAACCAGCTGATAATGAATGTATGGGTTTGTATGAATCGGGAAAATGTAAAAAGTGGTGGGGAATCAGAGAAGACTTGTCCCACTTCCAAACAGGCCAATTCCTGTATTTAGCCAACCGTTATTTCCTTAGCACCCAGATTTCAAAACTTAGGGGCCTGAAATTTTTCCTGAAGTTTTCATATTTCAATTTAATTTTTCATATATAATTTTACTTGGTGGAAATGTGTATTATATTTCTCTGAAATAAAATATGCATCTACATTTAATATTTTAACATCCTATCATAAAATCCTTCCAGAACTCTTAATTGTGTTCGTGCAGAACCTGCACCTTGACCACGCGGTGTATTCTTCCACTATACTATTCGATCTGTATCCGGAAAAAAAAATCTGAGCAGCTGGACTGTGTGAAGAAGACGTCAGGATTGGAGGAAGGCCTGTTAATAACCTGCAAGAGGCATGTGACACTGAAATCAAGGAGAACTTGAACTTTCACCACTTGCTGATGAAAAGCAAAGACTGTAATCCTCAGTATAAATTACAATTCATTGTAAAGAAAACAAAAATCCTCGCTCGTGGGCCAGTAGAGAATATCATGATAAACGCAGAAAGATTGACGTGGTCAACAATTTCACTTTGGATCCAAGCATTTTGGATTCAATCAATGCTCCTAGAAACAACAGTTAAGAAGTCAAATGACATAGTACACTGGCAAACCTGCTACAGGAGACCTCTTTACAGTGTTGAACTGCAAAGATGTATGTCACTTTGAAGATTAAGGTGCGACTGACCAAAACCATGCTATTTTCAATGACCTCATATGCATGTGAAAACTGGACAACGAATAAGGAATAACCAAGGAAAACCAATGCATTTGAGCTAAGGTGCTGGTGAAGAATATTGAAAGTATGATGGACCGCCACAAGAACAAACAAATCTGTCTTGGAAGAAGGACGGCCAGAATGCTCCTTAGAAGTGAGAATGGTGTGAGATTTTTGTCTCAGGTACTTATGGGCATGTTATCAGGAGAGACCTGTCCCTGGAGAAGGTCATCCATCATACTTGGTAAAGTAGAAGGCCAGCCAAAAAAAGGATGACCTTCAACAAGGTCGACTGGCATAGTGTCTGCCACATGGGCTTAAACATGACAACAACTGTGAGGAGGCCAAAGGACTGGGCAATGTTTTGTTGTGTTTGCATATGGGGTCAGTCTGAGTCTGAACTGACTCAAGGCCACCTGACAGCATTGACAATAACATCATCCAATCTTAAGTATTAAAAATATCTTCATTATAATAAGCACATGTTTTATCAAGCAAGTATTAAAATTGTATCTAAACAGGAAGAGTAAAATGGTTAGAAATGCACCTCCTTGAATTTAAAAACAGCAGAATGAGGACAGCTGGGGGAAGAATGAGAACCCACAGGGGTCGATTTTACTGTACTTTCGTGGATGTTTGAAAATTTTTCATCCTAGAATGTTACAGTCATCTCAGATCAATGGGAACTTATCATACTTTCCAGCTAGTTCATGCATCCATGGAGGAATTGGATAGATATTTTTATAAATAAAATAAAACAAAACAGTGTTGTACATTCCATTTCGATTTTTCATTTTGTCAATGTAATTGCTGAGAAACCTTTATTACATATGTATGTCAAAAGGAGTGGAAGGAGTTTTATTATACTGACATCGTTTTATTCTCTAAATTTCTCTCAAGTTATACACAAAATACATGCAGTTCTATCAAAAATTAATTCTAATGGCCTAGCATCTGATAATTCTTTCAATTTTATTGAAAATAAAGTTGGAAATGACCTAACTTTTAAAAGGATTTGGTATTCAATTACTATAGTCATTTATTGTTTGGTTTCTGGCAAAGTCCCAAGTTCATAAGTCCCAAGACTTATGAAATAACTGTTAATTATGCTGGTTAATCTCCCTCTTAGAGGTACATAGCCACATCTGATAAACTCAAAAACTCTTTAGGGGGTGGAAAGTAAAGAAAGCAATAATAATGTCAGTACATCTTTGCCAGTACAATGTTTGTATAAAATGTTCTGACCTTACCATGTGCTTTAAATATACGAGGGGTACCCCAAAAACCTGGAATTTCCCCCCCAAAGCTATGTATTTACTTTTTTTTTTCTTCCACAAAACAGCCTTATCACCTTCAAAGTACTCTCGATTACACTTAATACATTCATCAAATCTATGATTCCGTTCTTGGAAACATTTTTCAAACTCATCTGTTTGGATGGCTGACAGCACCTCCCTTGTTTTGGTTTTTTCTTCACCTCTTCTGTGTCATCAAATTGCTATCCTTTCATATCCCTCTTCATTCACCAAAACAAAAAGAAGTCACACCAAACAAGGTCAGATGAATAAGGTACATGGGGCAAGAGAGGCATGCTGGGGTTTCTTTGCCAAAATCTGTTGCACTGAGACGGCTGCATGAGCAGGTACATTGTCATGGTGGCGAAATCAGTCTCCCATCTGCCAAAAATCAGGACTTTTTTTTTGCACACTGTTATCCAATCTTTTCAGAACCTCTAAATAGAAAGCCTGATTAACAGTCTGACCTGGTGGAATGAACTCCAAATGCATGATCCCCCTCACAGCACACGTGGGTGTTTTGGGGGCACCCCCTCGTAGTTTGTCAAAGCCTTGGGATGACGTTTTAAGTCATCCAAATTATGAAGGATAAGCCCCCAAACCAAACTTACAGTCTTCAAGTCCATTTCCACTCACAGCAGCCCTCTCAGACAGAGCAGAGCTACCTCTGGGAGGTCTTGAGGCTGCAGGTTTTAAAGCCTCTTCTCTGTCCTATAGCGGCTGTTGGTTTCTAACTGATGATCTTACGGGTAACAACCCTAGTCCTAACCCACTAGCCACCAGGCCACCTTCTTTGAGGAACAGTCACCGTGAAACTCTGATGGAAATATACTTATCATCATACCACTCCATAATTCAGGCATATTTTCTCAGGAAATTAAAACTTCCTTTTCCAATTCAAATAAACGAGAAATTTGTTTTTCAGAATGAGGAATTATTTCTTAAAACGGACTTGGTATGTGCTATAGATGGAACTGGGTCTTCCCTGGAAGTAAGTTTGGCGCACTGGGGGCATATTCCGTTAGGCGTTGGGCTGCCATCTGCAAAGTCAGTAGCTCAAAACCACCACCTGCTACTCAGGCCATGGATGCTGCTTTCTACTTCTCCTCCCTTACAGATACAGTCTTGGAACCCTACAGGGACAGTCTGCTTTGTCTTAGAGTCACCGTGCGTCAAAATGGACTCCATGGCATGAGTTTAAGTTTTTATGAGCCAGAGTCCACTTGATGACAGTGACTGAATGTTCGTAAATCCTTACCCCTATATTTGTGGTTATGATCCCATTTGGGAATGAGCTTACTTTGCTATATTAATTAGACAGTATCTGTGTGGGTTGTGTTTTAAGTCGATCACTTTTAAGATATAAAAGAACAGATTAAACAAGGAAACAAATAAGAAACGAGGGGTGATAGCTACCAGGCCATCTGAATTACATGAAGGAGTCAAGGAACAGAAGCTGAAGAGAGAAAAGGAACTCTCACCAGACCACGTAGAGAGGGAACTCCTTTCCCTAGAGCAGCTGCATGCTGAGCTGCTATCCACAAAGTCAGCTGTTCAAATACACCAGCCAATTTGAGGGGGACAGATGAGGCTGTGTCCATAAAGAATTACAGAAGGGTCGCGGGGAAGAGATGAGCCAGTCAGGGTGCATTGTAATGATGAAACATACAACTTTCCCCTAGTTCTTTAATGCTTCCTCCCCGCCCACTATCATGATCTCAATTCTACCTTACAAATCAGGCTAGACCAGAGGATGTACACTGGTACAGATAGGAACTGGAAACACAGGGAATTCAGGACAGATGATCCCTTCAGGACCAGTGCTGAGAGTGGCGATGCCTGGAGGGTGGAGGGAATGTGGGGTAGAAAGGGAGAACCAATTACAAGGATCTACATATAATCCCCTCCCTGGGGGATGGACAACAGAAAAGTGGGTGAAAGGAGACATTGGATAGTGTAAGATATGACAAAATAATAATAAT